GATCTTTGGATACTTTAGGTATCGTATGTACGGTACGTATGTACATTGTACATGTAGCGGTACCGATACAGTAGGATGTCGCTTGTTCTTGTGTTCTTGTCGTGTTGTACAATAATTAATTGTGTCTGTATTGCTGGTACTTTCGGTCTGTGGGATTGGCCGGATTCAGGCAGTGCATGGGTGTCTATGGTCTATGGACTTTTTTCGACATTCATACGCAACCAAAGGGCCATTGAAACCTGGGCACGTCGCTCACGTCACAAGCCAAGGTCCAATCAATTCCGTTGCATGTTGTCTGCTCTACTGCCCCACCCCTGTTTCAGGTGGGCGAATGGCTTCCGATGCCAGTTCTCGGGGGGCAGTACGAAGGAAAAGAAGGCAAGATATATATTACTAGTATTATTGCACGATGGACATTCCTACAAGTCTTCAGTCTTTTGCAAAAGTCGTCAACACTCATGATGTTGTGTACATTTTGGGCTAACATACATGGTCATGTATGTGCGTATGAGCCTGCGTATGTCTGTGATCTTTCTAAAAACTCGAAAGATAGTCTCATGAATCTGACGGACAGAAACCTGAGTGCACGGTACTAGTAGCGGCACCACTGTAGAAGCTCTTCCCTGGGAGGAAGTTGGAGCGAGCGTTGGAACATCTTGTTTGATCTCGGTGGCAGAAATTTCTTGACTATAGTCATCCCCAGCTTCATCAGGCTCGGTCCTATGGATCGGGATAGGACCTCTGCGCCATCTTTGTGACGCGAAAAATGTCGCAGGGCCACGCGCCACTGGCATGCGACACAAATTATTCGAGATGGGCGCCCATCTTGGAAGCTTGATTGGTCCGTAAAAATTTTAGCAGATGGGATCCCATCTCACCTAAATAAACAATATTTCGCCAGCCCACTCCGCCAAAAGAAGACTCACTTCACATATTTGGGCTATCTCCACCCCTATACCCCCGTACACCAATCGAAAATGTATCGAAAAGCATTCTGCACGAACGTGTTGCCACAACAAACAGAGTAGTAGATATTGATCCTATTGAAGATAGTTGTTTTGATCATGGACCCTGCAATCGAAGAGCTCTATGACCTTGACATGACAATGGGATTGTCTGAGGCGGATCAGTTTTTGGTCATCCAGTTCCTTTCGCTTATGGTAGCACTTGTCGCAACTTTGGGAGTGAAGAAGGCAATCATTATCTCCCGAAATCCATCCTTCTATGAACAGCGATTGTGCTGGGAGCAGTTTTGTACCAAGCACACGGCAAGAGGAACATTCAAGCGCAGACTTCGCATGACAAAAGCTTCATTTGATCTCCTCCTGTCCTACATCTATATGGATTTGCTGGTCAACGAACAGATGGCAAATCTGAGAGGGGGAACCATTATCCCTGAATTGTGCCTTTATTGTACTCTACGTTGGCTTGCCGGAGGATCTTACTTGGATATTATTGATATCTCCGGAATGTCCAAGTCCTCCTTCTATCGTGTGGTGTGGAAGACCATTGTTGCCCTGGTTCGGTGTCCAGAACTTGCGATCTCATGGCCAAGCACTCATGCGGAAGTCCAGGCGAATGTTGAAGGCTTTTCATCCATCAGTTTTGGTAATGCAATTGACAACTGTGCTGGTGTTGTGGATGGGTATCTGTGTCGGACAAGGGTCCCCTGGAGAAGAGAAGTCCGAAATGTCCGCTCGTTCTTCTCCGGACACTATCAGTGCTACGGTGTAAATGTTCAAGCAGTCGCTGATCACCACTGTCGATTCATCTATTTTGCAGTCGCAGCTCCCGGTGTAGCAGGAGACCGTGAGGCCTCAGAGCACTGTGGTTTGAACGCACTCATCAAGGCTCTTCCTCAGGGAATTTGTGTGATTGGTGATGCTGCCTATGAACCAACAGAACAGTTGGTGCCAATCTACCAAGGAAATGATAAATACAATCCCAGATACGACAATTTCAACTTCTACGCTAGCCAGGTACGCATCCGTATTGAGATGGCCTTTGGTCTCATGCGGCAAAAGTGGGGTGTGCTCTCAAGGCCTCAGACATGCTCACTTCATAATTTGAAGTGGCAGCTCCAGGCCATTGCCCGTTTGCACAATTTCTGTATCAACGAAAGGCTCGCAGAAGATGAGGATGAGGAACCAGTGCAGGGAAGCTACTTGCCGACTGTCCCCCACGAAGAGGATGGAGATCCAGTGGTGTTGAATCCCCTTTTCGAGGCTGTTGACGTGGGTGGATTTCGTGGGCACTCTGAGTTGCGAGAATTCATGGCAGAAAGGGTAGAACGTCTTGGTTTGACTCGGCCTGTTCGCAGCAGCAACAACAACAACCAAGTTGGTGATGAAGAAAACTAGTAAGATATTAAGATATAACAGCACATTTCTCTTTCTTATTTTAGTTTTCTACGTGTACCTACCTAGACTATCTTTCGAGTAGTTCTTGTTCTCCTTTCTGTTTTGTTCTCCTTTCTTGTTCCTTCAACATATACACTAGCACTATCATCGTGTTCTTGTTTCTTATTCTTGCATCACATCGTGACGGCTGAGCAGATCTGTGCCATACACAACCGAGAATTCACGAGCAATATCTAACTTGTCCTCCAAAGCGCGAACTCTTGTCGCAAGATTGTGGAGCAAGTGAGGAGCATTGCCATTATCGCGAAGCTCCATGACTCGTAGAGACAACCTGTCATATTCATTCCACATTCTTGTAAGCCTTTCTTCAGCCGCCTGAGACGTCTTCATGTTGATGTAGTTCTGACGCTGTTCGGACGCAGTCCTTGTACTTTCGTTCCAGGCACCCAAAGAGCTGATGAGTGAATCATTCGCTGATGCAGAGCCAATGCTCGCTGTACTGGGAGTGGCAGTGCTTGAAGCAGGTGGAGCCTTTGAGGCTGTGGGAGTGGCGGTGGATGAGGCAGCAAGATCCTCCGTCAACATTGCATCCCAAGATCCTTCGAGTTGAGGATGAGGTTCGCGGATTCGAAAGGCATAATAGGCAACCTCCGCAGAAACCTCCACTCCCTTGCGAATTGTCAGAACGCTCTTTCGGCAGAAACTCCATGGATCATTGGATCCTTGGCCGGACTTCTTCATAGCAGCATGGATTTTTTCTACAGCCTTCATTGCGTCCTTAACAAGCTGGCAGCAGCTCTCATGGTTGAGTTTGTTGAAATTACATGGGTTGATTGGTCCAGCCGTGGCAATGTCGAATTGTCTTTCATCCTCTTCTTCAACTGCTCCATAGATCACCGACAACTCTTGATTGTTCTCCGTATCATTATAGAAGTCTGCAATGTCAATCCAAAACTGTTTGTAGGGTCCAGCGCGATTGCTCTCATGATCAATCCTCGTCTTGTTTGCATGCAGATCCACGAATCTTTGAAAGTAGGTGGAGTGAACACAAGTGTTGAGAAGTCGATACGTAGAGTTGATCTTGAGGTCTCTGGCGGAGGCAAAGTTATTGACTATCTCCGGATTATCGTAGGCAGTGGCTGCAGTGCAGCGAATAGCCATACGTCTACGGATCTCGAACTTTCCCGCGGAGCTGACACCTTTGCACCCAAAGTTAACAGCTAGCTTTCGAAGTTGATCGCAGCTCAGCTTGTCAATCTCGAACTTCTCGTAGTTGCCACGACTCTCACTGCCAAAAACAATATATTGTGCCACTGTAAATGGTCCTGGATTATCTTTCGAACGCTTGTTCAGTTCTTCCCCAAGCTCAAGCCGACTCTTGTGTTCATAGCGGAAGGCAGCAACCTTGGGAGGCAATTCAACTGGTTTCCGTGGAACAGTTGCACTCTTCTTTGTCGCTCCAGCAGCTGCTTCTTCTTGCTGATGAGGAGCCTGATTAGGAGTGGGTGGACGACCATCTTGGGTTGGTGTTGCACGACCACGACTATCGTTCCTGGACTTCTTTGTAGTAGCTGAATCCATCATGACGGGTGCAGCCGGACTGTCTGGGCGACGTCTTGCTACAGGAGACTGAACTGGCAACTGCACTCCACGAGCTGATGGAACACGCGAGAAGCCTGTTGCAGGGGCAGGGGCAGGTGATTGACGGAACCCCATCAAGTGAGTCGGCATGGGACATTGATTGTCCAAAAAACGCTGCCATTCTGCTTGAGTTTCCTGTTGGTTCTGGTGGTACATCCGCTGCACATTTGGATGCAATGTGGAAACATTAATGGGCTGAAAGGCCTGAAAAGCATACTTTGGTGCAGGTGTTGCCCCAGCTGCAACTGGAACTGGAGGGAATTGCGACAGCGAATCAGGTTGCGAGAGTTTATCATACTGTTGTTGTGACTCCTGCTGTGGCGAAACAAGATCCACAAAGTCTTCTTTCTGGGCTGTGGGCTTTTCTGGGGTATCCTTCAGTTCTTCTTCTTCTTCGTCCTGGTCATCATCATCATAAGAAGACGAGGACGAGGACGAAAGATTTATTTCAGCTTCCAAAAGACGGGTAGATCCATATTGCCCCGGACGTGGCTTCTGCTTCTGCTTCTCCATTCGCTCTTGAATTGCCCGTTCCAGGCTAGAATCACTATCGTCGGAATCCTCCAGTACCGCCTTGGACTTCGCCTTCGGCTTTGGCTTTTGTGACATCATGGTCACTCTACACTGCGAGCACAGTAGTAGCCAATCAATGGGCTTTTCACAGCCAAATAATGAGACGAGATCTGCCAGAAATAGTAGGAAAGATTTGTATTTATCATATCTCTATCAACCAATACAAGGATTCCGAAAGATTCGCAAAAATCAGTTGAACGCCGCTGAAACAACCTATTAACTCCTCCATCACTGCATACATTCATTCTCTCTCTTAGTCAGTTCTGAACGTTCTACAAGCGATCTTGATAGTCTACATGTTCTGCTTTGCATACATCATTTGTGCACCTTTGGATGACACTCCGAGTTATTTACGTTGTTGGTAGAGGCATCAAAAATGCGAAAAAAATGAATGCGACACTGTGAGTAGAATCCGCCGTACGCGGAGGTGCGTTAAGAAATGATGTGTCTGGCCGATTAGAGGTAAGGTCCATAAGACTGACCGCCAGCTCCATGTGTTTCCATCTTCGGATCCATGTCTGTGACACGGTCAGCTGCTAGTCACAAAGATCAGAAAAGAGGTGCGGCTACAAGATCCATAGGACCGAGCCTCAGGGCCATGGGCCATAGCTGGGCCATTCAATAATCACTACTGAGTACTCGGAGTGCATTTATTTGGAAGAAAACTCCAGAAACCTTTTGCAGCTTCCAGAGGCAGTATTGCCGTGTGTGCAATTTGGATTCGATTCCGAAGCCCAGAAATAGGAGCTAGCTAGCTAGGCAGTCATCGTCAAGTCGCCCTCTAAGAAGAGCTGAAAAGCGCTCTCTCGCTCAAGCTCCCGACTACCGTACCGGGTACCGGTAACCGTACTCTCCGAGCTCGACTGTTGACTCCGCTTCGCATTCGAAGGTCAGTCAATTATTGTACATGTAGCTCCTAGCTAGCTAGAGTAGCGATGAATTGTCTTGTACTACGTGTACTGGTACCAGCTTTCGGTAGAGGCCTCCACCCCGAAGTACAATCCAATAAGCAGGGTACTCTTACCGGTAGGTAGGCTTTTGTGACTGCCTCGGCTGCACTATTATGTCGCGTTGCTGCCCCTAGCTAGCTGGGGCAGTTCAGGCTTGCCTTCCTTTCTTACAATACAAGGTAAGTCGAGCAATGGAGAGCCTAAAACGCAAGTACAGTACTAATCAAGCAGACTGCCCAAAAGATTGACTTCGAGAACTTTTAAGGATGTCCGCCTACTGGTATTCATCCTTGTGACCGGGAGCGATTTGCCTTTGCAGTGGCTGCCTTTTTCCGGAGGCGACTGGCTTTTGAAGGAGCTGCTTGAGAGCGATCCACAGCATCAAGCAGACTGTTGCCTGCCCTCTTCTTGCTCGCTGCGCTAGTAGCGGGTGCAGTCTCAGAGGCCCACGAGGAAAAGTTCACCTGTTGGCCACTCTGACTAGTAGGATCTTGTTCACATCTTCCTCTTGCCGAGAGGTTGCTCGGCTTTCTTCTATCTCTGATTCCCTTGATTGAATGAGCACTTCCACTTTTTAAACACGGGTTTTTTTTTTTTTCAAAAATCAACCGAAAACCTCTTGGTGATGGAAGCAAAGGACGATGAGCTGTTCAAACTGCCGATGATGCTGAAGCGACGTTTTCTCTCGTTTTGGATCTCTTCAGCAATATCGGCAGGGAAAATGCTTTCATACTCTTTGCGAAACTTGGTTTTGAAGCTGCTCTTTGCTAAAAGATCAAGGATCTCTTTGTCAAGCTTTTCCAGAGCGGACCGGTTCACCACATCGTTGCTTTCATGCCCCTCCAACCACCAAGTCTTCATATCTCCTTTGCCTTTCATGCTTACTAAACCCCTTTCTTTCAGGACAAAAGAACCCTTGCAATGGGACTCTAGTAGCGCTCGTGTGGTGCTGGAACATTGCACCTTTCCGGGCTCTCCTGTGCTCTCATGGCGTGCAGTTGTGTTGACTATCCGTATATATAGAAGGAGCCCATAGGCGTACCGGTAACAGCAGTGTGAGCACGACAAGAAGTGCAGCAGAGTCGAAGAACCAGGATCCCGGGATCATGGCATATGCCTACCTGTGTCACCAAACACGCAATACTGAGGCCGTTTCGTCCCAACTACCCCTGAGGCGCATGACCCACTGTGGATTCCTATCCGTAGCTGCAATGGAGATCCATCGACTGGCGACACGACATGCCGGCAACAATGGTTGACAGCAATGGCAAAGTGGGCAACTTTCATGAAATGCTGTTCATCCTCCTGGGGGAGCCCACAGGAGCAGACATAGGCATCCCCGATAGTTTCGATCTTAAAGATGCCGTATCGTTCTCCCAGAAAGTCCATGACGCAATACAGTCGATTCAGCATCTCAATCACTTGCCAAGGGTAGAGTCGATGGCACATGTTTGTGAAATTCACAATGTCACTGAAGAACAGTGTAACATTCTTGTGCAACCTCGCTCCACGGTTTTGCCTTGCCGAAGGCCTTCTGCGGCATGAGCAGGCAACATGGATTCCAGCAGCGTTTTCTCCTGCTCCAATGAATGGCTGAGTTGTTCCATCTTGGCGGCACTATTAATTTGCGAGCTCAAGTGCTCTCGGAGAAGGATCGATTCTCTATGAGCCCCGTGCAGCGGTAGATCACTAAAGGTCATCTTCATCTCACGAAGCTCCTGCAAATTGTTTGCGTCGGGAGTCAGCACGAGCATTGCAAGAGAAGAGCCTTCCGTAACATGGACAACGGTTGTCTTGAACTTCAAAGCGGGCCTCTCTGATGAGTGCTCGACTGTTTGGACATCAAAGGCTTGGTCTTCGAGCAGGCGAAGCCATTTCCAGCTCCACTGGATCCCCACTGGCTTTGTCACGACCAGGAATTCACTAATGCATCGACCCACGAAATCATCCTCCGATAATTGCATGACAGTTGGCATTTTATTACCGACCTGAGCAATCTTTAGGTCCAAGTCGACCATGATATGGTACGGGAAGAGGCTCCTTGTCACTCGCCCCGACAAGCCAATGGCACTGTCAGATACCGGTTCTGACGATAGTTCCTCTTCGATGGATAGTGGTGCGGTCACGGACGTGTTCTCCAGGCTGGGAGCCTTCTTCACGACGGGATCACCTTCTTCGATTTCCTTGGAATCAAAAAACATGTCCTCATACTGGTGTTCACTTGTGGGCAAGCTAGAAGGCTGGTTGCTGCTAAACTTGGCTCGCTTGCGTGGTCGCCTGATATCTGCTTCATTGACTTCGATGACTGATGGGACGCTGGCCGTGTTGATTGTTTGAGATAGTCTTCGGTTTGCAGATTGCGAGGGTGCCGTGGTCATGCCAGTGAAAGGGCATTTCATTTGTTTCGCCTGATAGGTGGCATTCATCTGCTTGCACTCTGCTCTCATGGTGAGCTTCCAAAGGTTGTCGGGATCTACCGTCGATATCTTCCAGCTAAAAGGGAAAGGCATGATAGAAACATGATGAGCTGTTGATGATGAGCAATTGGGGAACATCACACGAGACCTCCAGTTGCATCTGCATACCTTGTTTGTTCTGCTCCTTCTTCTCCTTGTGTCCTTAGCCGTTCCATCTTGATTTCATATCCAAATTGGTCGGAGGCAACCTGACATACGACACCTTTAGCTACCGGAGCCAGGAGGCTGCCGCGTTTCGAGTGATAGTGCAATATAATAGCACCGTCGCCTGATTCGTCATCTTCGACCCAGAACTGGGGCATAGTCATCTTGTTGGGGAACGTATCCTGCAAATGCTGATGCATGGCATTGATGTTCGCCATGAAATCTTTCAGATTGCTGCCTTGGCACCTCAGCAAATTGTCGTAGCCTTCGTCTCGGACGTATTGGACAAAAAAGGCGCCAAACGTCTCCAGGATGGCTTCCGCCGACAACCCCGAAACCTCCACTGCCGCCATGACCAGATCCACCGTAGTCTGGTCGGGATAGGGGTCAAGCTTGTAGAACCCTCCGTCTTCGACCTTACAACCCGCTTTTTCTTTGATGGAGTGCCATGCGTCCAAATCGAACTTGGCGAGGACAAGCTTCTCCACACAATCGTTGATCCAACCGAGCATCCTTGTCAAATAATATGCAGTAGTATCCGTGTGCGTCCTCTTTCACTGTTTTGTTGGTCTTTGTGGGCGCGCGCTGTTGGAAATGAATCAAATCGAATGTACCTTGTGGGCCCAGCTGACGTGAAGTGAATGTGAAGTGATGAGATGAGATGAAATGTTGGAAGGAAACCTTTCGTGGAAGTTGATGCACCCGGGAACACCAACTAAAGGCGACGGCGATAACTTCGTCTGCGATATTATTGTCAGAGAAAGAGAAGAGCAACGAGGTCAGGTTTTTACCCTCATGCAAGCGTCCAATGGACAAATGAAAAGTGGGTTGCTGCGTTGCTGTTGATGGTTCTCGCCACCAAGCCATCAGAGATCAGAGACTCGACTCTCACGGGATGCTGAAATGACATTTTGCAATGTCATTGTGAGTCATTGTGTCACTGGTGATAAAAATGCTCACTCAAGCTTTTTCAGAGCGCAAAATTATTCACACTTTTATTTATTGGTGGGTCATTTTCCCCAGTTCAGCTCCTGCCCTTTATTGCATGGTTCTCTGGAGCTGCCGGTTTGGTGTCGGCATCAACGATTAGACTGACGCCAGCGTCAACTGGGGAACAGGGGAGCTCAAGGGTCACCGTCGTCATTGATTTATTTCACTTCCAGTGGCCAACAGCTTCCACTTGCTGCTTGATGAGAGTTGCGAGTGTGGTAGAGAAACGTAGGAAATCCAAGATCACATCACATATACCGGTAAACACTGAAACCGTCCGTCCCCTGCCTCCAAGAGTGCTCATCATTTTCCGAAGACAGCTACTGGGAGGTTTGGTTGGGTTGCACCTTGCAGAGCTGCCGCTTCTTACTTGTCCGATGATTGTGACTTGTGTGATGGAAGCCCCCCCCCAATATGATTGCTTTTTCTGAGTGACGTGCGTCGCCGTGTTGCTGCCCCGCAGCTGCATGGCACCATGCAGCAGCATATTGAGGCAGTCACAAAAACCCAGGATGTACCTTAGTACCCTGCTTGTTGTGTACTATGGGGAAGTTGACCTCCGCAAGATAAAGTCATCGCTTCATCGTCGCTATTCAGACTTCATGTCTCAATAGCAAGGGTGTGAGGGTTAGATTGGAATTTCTATCACCATGTACAACAACAAAGGAAGCCATACAATTGCGGCCATCCATCATGTGTCATCCCAACTATAAGTTCTACAAGGAAAGCTTGGCAATGTGGGATGGCAACAAACATGGTGTTATGTGTTACAGTGCTTTTCTACCGGACAGTGATCTCAACTCAACAAATCAAACAGCTAGGTTCCGTATCCAGATCCACTCCACAGTGATCACTCGGGACAAATGTCACGAAAAGCTCCACAAGAGGCAGCCGATGGCTAGCCAGCTCAAACAAAGAAGACATTGTCGGCATTGATGTTTGAAAGAAAGGTATTCTGGCGGATCACCTCGGCAAAGTTGAGGGTTTTGAGATTCAAGATGCCATTCAAATTTTGGATAGCTGCAAGGTCCGGATCAATGAGGTAGAATAGGGGGTCGCCCCTCATGAGATGCTCAAACTGTGAAGGCACGATTCAAAAAGAAGGCAACAGTGAGGATTTTTTGACGCGTGACACTGAAGCAACCGTGGGCGTTGCCAAAAGACACATACCTGCTTGGAGATGATGAAACTAGCAAGCTGTCCCAGGTTGCCTCCTCCAACATGGTCCTCTGCCAATGCTCCAACCCAAGGGTCAATCTCATCTACACTCTCATACACCGAGGCAAGCTCTTCCTGGAGAGTGGTGTCAGAGGTTACCTGAGAAAAGGAGTCCACTCGACCCAAGCCAAGAGCCTCCCGCATTTCATTGTACTTGGGAAGGCCGTGATCACGAGCACGCTAATAATAATCAACAATACAAAGGAAGCACAATGTGAGATATAGAAGCACCATTAGGGTCCCGAAAAGGCTTACACACGAAAGAACATACCATGATGTTGAGGCCGGCAAGATCAAGGCAAACACTGGTTGGTGGGTGGGTGGGTCGGAAGCCATTGGCAAATGAAGATGGTGAGATGTGATGTCATTGAAGTGCACGCAATCACACAAAACAAAGATGACATACCTATCAGTTGGAGCATCAAAAAGGAATGAGCGGACATCCTCCACAATCTTGTTGTCGATTTCCTTCCAAATTTGAATTCGACCGGGGAGATACAGAAAACGACAATGTGTGAGCCTTCTGCGGCCAACATGATGCTGTTGTGATGGGCTGCCATGCCTTACCTGTGCAACATTCTTGGTAAGACCTGCAATGACCATGTCAATTCGGCTGGCGTCTTCCTCGTAGAAGCTAGGGAGGAAGAAGTGGTCCTTGAGTCGTACTGTTTGAGTAATGCCACTCTGAGTTGCCAATGCCAGGTCGCCAGAAATCATGCTGTGACCAAAGCGATAGGCTACAGTCGAGAACTCATTGAAGATGCTTGGATCATAGGATGGATCATAGCCATCGTAGTCATCAAGAGATGGTGCCATGTCACCCAAGAGGGCTGGAAGGAACTCCTGTTATATAGCAAAGGGACGAAAAATAGTTAGTTTGAAGCAGACAAGCTAGCAACAAACAAGCCATAGATGAATCAGTGCAATGCTTACAGTATAAGTGATCTTCTGAATCTCTGCTCCAACAAGCTTTCGAGCAAGCTGATAGATCTCTTCATCAGATGCATCCTTGAAGTGCTGCTTGATCTTGTCGGCAAGGCGGTTGTGCTCTCGAACAAAGAGGGTGTGCATAGCTGTGAGGCCAATCTGCTCGTTTGCGCGAATGTCGCCTGCGAGAAACAAGTTGTTGCCAGTGCCTCCAGCATTGTCTTCTTCATATTCATTGTAGGGCAAAAGCAGGCCACCTGCACTGGTCTTGAGTTTTCCATCCACTTTAGTGCGCAACAAATCAGCACGGTGGGGTTCAGAGCCGTAGACGCCACTTGCATCAAGACAAGATGTGATCAAATTGACTTGTTGACGAGGAGACTCCACAAACTCAGACCGGGTGACCACCATTTCTGGGAAAGGCAAAAGGACAAGTATGTGAGAGGAGTGGCGAGGAAGATCATTGAAAAGCAAATCATGAATGCAGCACAATTCTTACCAGCACAGCCAGCCTCAGAAAAGACATCTCCATCGGTAGCAGGAATCTCGACAGCTATACTGCCAAAGCTGGACGCTGGTTCCGTCAAATCAATATCGTGATCGATGAATTGTCCCCAGGCCCAGACCATGTCTGACATACCACGAGCATTGAATGTGTTGCCAGACCCAGAGGGGTCACTAAAGTAGAAGCAAGAGGAAGAGGGATTGAGATATGATAGTAGTAGGATAGGATAGCGCAGACAGAAGTACGTCGGGTAAAGTTCATAGCTCTTACCGGCAGACAGCATTCGAGATGTTGCGAGGGTTGCGACCCTCAATCATCTCGCCGATATCGTCTTGATAGTTGACACTGGAGAGGCGGCGAAGCGGTGTGTGTGCGGCCCCAAGGTCGTCGTCACGGTCATATCCTTCGATGGTTCGGATCTACCGGTAGCAAGCACGAGGACGACGTGATGTGTAATGCGCACGACAAAACGGAACGAAATAAAAAAGGTGAGGAGGCGTCGTTGACGTGACGTGACAAGGAACAATGCGACTGGCACGTTCTTACATGTTCCAGTTTCATGGTGTTGCCGACGCCGTTACCGCCGCCATTGCCATTGCCCTGGGCAACGACCATGGCGACAGAGGTCGCGACAAGAAGGACGGAAAAAATCGAAGAAAGCTTCATGTTGATGGTCGAACGAATGAATTTGCTATTGCTTGGTTTCTGCTTTTCTGGTTTCTGCTTTTGGTGCCAGAAAAATTGTGAGGAATCGAAATGGAGTTGTGATTTGGACCCTCTCGAGGCTTTGAGGGCCGATCTTTGCGTATCTTTGCTGCTGTCTACCAAGGAGCGTACAACTCCACGGATTCCTCTCTTCTGACGACAGGCCGTGGCTACCAGGAGCCGTAGAGTTGAATGGATTCCTCTCTTTTGCCGAAGACAGAGAAGGTCACATCATGGTTGCTGCGAGAGCAGGTGTGATTGGAAGTGTGGTGGATGTCACGCATTTGGATCATCGACTCCCGTGCTTCAACCAATGCTTAGGAGCCTTTCTTCACAGAAAAGAACCGATTCAGATGGGGGACAAGCAGTCGGCTACGATGGAGTTCTTCCTCGTTGTTAAGACGGTAAGGCAAACATGAAGCCTCTGTAATTGCTGCGTCTACGGTCTTTGGCTGGCAACGGCACTCTCCCTGGCTGTGAAACGCTGAAACCTTTATCGTGTAACCAGTGCATTGAGTGATTTAATCAGTCCATGTTTGAGGGAGACGGCGTCTGTCATGATAGAAATTGGCACGAGGACAGCCACGCATCGATCGTGGCTTGATCGAGCAGCCTCCAGAGTTTGCGGCTTCCACAGCCGACAGGAAGGCTCCCCGTCCTGAGAGTCAAATGTACCTGTATATATAGGCCCGAGGAAGCTACAAGTGTTGTGGATTTTGCAACGGCCGGCACGAAATCTAGGTATGGAGACGAGGCACAGCTCCTCCATGATGCACCCTTCAAAGGTATCAAACCTTTTCTTCGAGGATGCCCCCTTGGCTTGTGGCTCCGAAACGGGATGACTGAACGGTGACAAGACTAAGTAAAAAAGGCGAGGGAAGCCAAAGCGGTACGCTATAGTAATGCCACTGTAACAACCACTTGGCACCGGGATTGTTTCCGGAAGTCGCTAGGATTGACGTTGCTGTCATGTACGAAATGCAGCAGACGACGTTGGGTAATTGGATCTGCGAGGGCTATTGGCTTTGCCAAAGCCTGTGAAAGCTATATTGGCTTTGCCAAAGGGTTTGGACCACAAATTGCTCGGGCGAGTGTTCCGATTTTGATCTTTGGTCCCGTCAGCTGTAGAGGTGTAGACCCCGAGCTATCGATAGACTTGCGGGGCAGCTGCAGAAATGCACTCTCCGCTGCCTTTGCGAATGCCTCTGCAAAGGCGGGCTGGTACCGGTAGAACAAAGGAGCTACCACACCATAGCTGCGTCAAGAGTCGACCCGAGCATGTTCCGATCTAGATGGTGCGGCAAAGAGCCACGACAACCGAAAGCCTATAGCTATAGCTTGTGTTCCGATTTTCATTACAATGCCTTGCAAACTAAGCGCCTAAACTGGGCCAAGCCTTAGCTCTTCGTACAGGCATGTCAGTGCGCCATTCTTCTTGTTCTGCTGTTGCATGCATCGCAAGCCAAGACTGAGGCAGGACGTTCGAAGCAAACCAAGCAAGGCTTAGCAGGAACATCTCGAGCTAGACCCATGGTTTCATGTTCCGGTTTTGGATCATGCAGACGGCCGTATGCATGACAAAATACTGGGGAAAAGACCTAGACTGGGCTAAAGCAATGCAATCCCACGTTCTACTTTTTCTTCTTAGAGTAAGAGGGACAATAAGCTCAAGGAGTGAGCCATCAAGATAGGCCCATCTTTTCATGTTCCGGTTTTTGGATTTTGGATGCTGAAGAAACCAAAAGGGGGCTGATCGTGAACTGGCCAAGAGGGCATTCTTGCATTGATGTATAGGTAGCCCATTGTTTCGCGTTCCGTTTTTGACGTGCGTCTAGCATACCTTGCCCGCAACGGATGGAGAAAAGCAACAACAGGTTCAAGGAGACTGTCAGGCACCAAGCACCCTTGACTAGTACCGGTACAGTCTCTTGTCATGGAACCTGATTTGACTTGGCAAGAGCTGATGGATCAAAGGAGAGGTTCGTCGTTGCTTCCTTGTTTGTTGGGGGGGGGGACGTTTCATTCGTATCTGCAATCTGTAGTACGTAGCTCTGCCGGTCACGGCCAGCTTGTTCCTAGCACGGCACCGCACAGTGGTTGCCTCACAGCTGTGAAAAAGTACCAAAAAAGAGAAAAAATGTAGGTAGGCAGCAGAATTTTCGGCAAATGGTAGGGGACGAAGGCAACTCCTTCCCCAGAAACCGGAGGAAATGGGCTTCCCAAGCCCATTGCCGTACTGCTCCTTGTTTGCTGAAGGCACATTGCTTCCTGCAATTTCCTCTGTTCATGGCGCATTCATTCAACGCAGGATGGGATCATTGCTTATTTATTATTTGTGTATTGTAGTTTTTTCTTTCTCTACTATAGTTATTTATCCACTCAATCCATTTGTTTGTCTGACCCGAAATTTGACGATTCCACAGAGCCGCAAAGATGCTGTTCCAATCTGCATCTTGTGCATCCGTTTGTCGGGCGGGCAAATAATCCGGAAAGAGGAAAATGATGGATGGATTTCTTTATTGTTTGTCTTGTAGTGGTCTTGTAAAGATGGTATCAAAATCGATTGTTGCTTCGTCGTCTACCGTATGCTAGTCTGCTAGCTAGCTAGGCTTCTCCAGAAGCTTGTCCACCGGTGCCGTAGGTTCCAAGGATGTTGACCTTTTCAAACTCGCCTTCGGCCTCTCTTCCACCGCCGCCTGGGTATATCGTCTCATAACCCATTCGTGCCGCATATTCGGTGCTCTTTTTGCAGGCATCGGCAATGCAGGACACAAAGAGACCCGCCATGCCCAATTCTTCGTAATTATTGTTCACGTATCGTGCGGGAGCCGATGATCGTCGCAGTGAATCCTTCTCCGTTTGGGGCGTTTCGTTGCGTTGATAGGACGATCGCGGCTGCGGCTTTTCGGGCCAGGTCGAAGCATCGTCGTCAGCGGTAGGGCCTATTCGATTCAGCAGGGCAAATGCTTTCAGTCTCACGTCGACCTCTTCTTCTTCATACGGCTCCGGGTTGTCTTGGTATCTCTGGTGGCTATTGTTCATCTTACCTTCTTCTGATTGATTCTTGTATGGATGTTGTTGGTCTATTTGTGGGTTGGGTGGAGTGGCAAGAAGATCGGAGTGGAAGGAGCTACCGGTACCGTACGTACTGGTAACGGTCAGGAGTTTACACGGAACAAACCAAAGAGTTCCTGATGGCTCTTGATGGCTGGGTCCCTTTTACCGCTCTTTCCGTTCTCTTTGTCCTTCTTGACGTTTCAGCGAACGTTTTCTAGCTAGCCAGGGAGTGACGAGTCGAGTCTATTTGATACTGATGCTGGGTCTCCAATTTGCATTTCTGCCTGGTACTGGTACACCTACCGAGACGTTTCTTTTTTGTCATTTTTTGCCAGATGCACTTGGTGCATGCAGTGTTGCTCGTCGACTTTGATAGACCACCTCGATCGTACCGGTACGGCATCCATTGAACTGTGTCAATTCCTGCTGAACGAGCACGAAAAGCACATGGATCGAAACCAAGACTTGCAGCAGCAGCTGACACGGTAAAAAATGAGCAAGGAAGACTCATCGAAACGCCCACAGTTCAAAAAATGGAACGGCACAGTTCTTCTGGTTTTCCAAGGGTTGGTGATTGTTGCAGCTACTTCAAGGTTTTCCCGTCTCTTCAACTCCCGCGTTCTAATGCCTGAACTGGTTCGATTCCAGCCGGCAAGAGAATTCTCCGAGGAGAAGCGCTCGCTGCTATGTTTTGTCATGTTGGCTCATGATCAGTATGGAGTCCGTGCTCATCAAGTCATGGATGCCTGGGGACCACGCTGCGACAAGCTGCTCTTTGTGGGTGCCAAAGAAGAAGAAAACGCAACATCCATTCCTCACGTGAAATTGCTGGAAAAAGAGGAAGATACGCCTGGAGAACTCTCACGGAAGGCTCATCGCGCCTGGAAACACATCTATGACAACCATGTGGACGACTACGACTTTTTCATGAAGGCAGATCTGGACACTTACATGCTCATGGACAACTACTTTAGTTTCATCAAACGCCTGGATCCATCCATACCTCATTACTTTGGTCGACAGTTCAAAGAACTTCGAAACCCCGCCAGAACGTTTGTGGCTGGTGCTTCCGTGACACTCTCCAGGGCAGCCCTTCAAAGACTAGGGCGAGCTTTCAATAATGACAACAAACAATCGAACAAGTGTTCAACGGCATCATGGAAAGAACATGGCCATGGGGATGATGTGGCACTGGCGCATTGTTTGGCGACACTGGGGATTTATAGTTTAGATACGCGCGATGAACTTGGTCGAGAGCGTTTTATGGTGTTTAATGTTGATTTCATGAAGAGCGATGTGAATCTCCCTTCGGAGGACTGGTATACCAGAATGGCATTCAATTCGAAAATCGGTCCTGGCTGCTGCTCGGACAAAGCGATTTGCTTTCATTACGTCGACAGTAGCAAGCTCAGTGTTCCCCTCGTGTTCAATAATGGAGTGTGGGATTGGGATCATAACGCATCATCAGCCACGGCTATAGCAATACATTGAAAATCCAAAGGAACATCTCCTCATACTTACCGGTATTCCATGTACCGGTACGCTAAGCCTCAAGATGTTCCGTACTCGCTAGGGTGACGTGCTAGCCAGCTAGGTGTTGGGCCAACTGCATGTCCAGGACTATCTAGGGCCTAGACATGGTCCTGGAGATTGCTCAGATTTTGGACCAGTTCAAGGGTCAGGAGAATGCCTGATGTAGGCTCTGGAGTTACCAGTACTAGTACCCATGGAGATGCCCCACATGTTTGTTTTCTGGAGTTGTCCGCATGAGCCGCTCTGGAGAGCTTTCTTCTTCCCAGCTTATTTAGTCATTAGTGAAAAAGGATCCAAGACTCATTTGTAAATAAATGAAAACTGGGATCTTTCTTCCGTTGGCCATGACATTCGGACCATGTCCCCAGTCCAGAAGACAACTATGATACTATGGACAAGGATGAAGTATCGCCGTGCCATGGCCCTGATCACGGCTATCTGCTGGCTGATTCTATTGCCGGTGCATAGTGCTGATGATGACCAAGTTATGGTGACCATTGTGAATGAGAGCACTGTTTCGTTGAATGTGTTCTTTGTGGATTCGACCACCCGAGAAACTTTTTTTCTTCGAGAATTGCCGCATGGAGGCAAGCTCTCATTACAGAGCTATCCGGGGCATGAGTTTGAACTACGAGAAGATGCAGATGACCCTGGCGTGTGCTCTCGGTCTCCAGATCAGACGTGTAGAAGAACCTTTTTCTTCGCGGGGGAGGAAGAAGATGGTAAGGAAGCCCTAGGTACTACTTCAGTACCGCTTGTCTTGAATTGGAAGATTTGAATCAGATATCTCAATTTTTCTTTGAATTCCTTTCCTCTGCATTATTCTTCCTTATCAGTGGTCTTGATCACAAACAAGTTTCAAGCCGAACATACCACAGACCCGTCACTACTGGAAGACGTGAATCATCACGTCCAGCCCAAGGAGAACGTTTTGTCTATTCTCAATGACTCCGGATCTCAAATTCATTTGTTTTGGATCGATACCATCTCGGGGGATGAGTTCCAAGTAACCCATGATGCATCTCCCATACAGCCAGGTCAGACACACACCATCCGAAGCGCCATGACGTATCAGTTTCGAGTACAAGAGACCGGCACTTGTGATTTTGTCGGCAGCGTTGCCACAATACACTTTCAGCTGCCTTGTAAAATGGCACATTTCACCAATCCAAAGGATGAGAACCCCACCGTTACAATCACACGACAATTTCATGTACTCTATCAGGGAGAAACCATTGGACAATCCTCACAAGATTATCTTACAGAAGATGAATGCCCCAACTGCAACGACAACTACGATTGGATCCACAAATGCCATCGACTGAGTCAAGGAGACTCCAACAAAACGACCCAATGCGTCCAACAGAATTCCGCCCTGCGGATACTCCAAACTCATAAAGCGCTGGACTTGGAAGAATCATTGCTGCAAGATGTGGGAGACAAGCTAGAAAATTACACGTGCGCCGATGATACACTCGAAACCAGTCCACCCTTGCAAGTCACGGAATGGACCCGGACCGAAAATGATACCACCGTCCGACCACCCGTATTACACCAAGTCAATCGCACCGTCTGGGTCATGTTGAATCGACCCGCTTCTCGCATTCACCTCGTTCACGACTTTATTGACGAAGAAGAATGCCAAGCCTTGGAACAATCCGCCAAACACAAACTAGGGAGAGGGACTGTCGCCGATGGCAAGGGGGGGACCCATACCAGTGATCATCGCAAGGCCCTGCAGGCGGCCATTGTCGTGCCGTGGCACATGGAAGAAGGGAACCAACCTATTGCACGATTGTCGCGACGTGTCTACGACTATGTCAATCATGTACTTGGATTGAATATACAGGAACACGGACAGGAATCTTTAATGTCGATACAATACATGGGAAGAGGAAGGGATGACATGGCACCGGATCGGTACATGCCTCATTGTGATGGAGATTGGTAAGTACGGAGGCACAAAACGACAATCACGGTTGCATGTCTTTTTTGTCTCGCTATAGCGCCGCCTGTTGTGTCTTTTCCTTGTTACATGACAGTAATGGCCTCAAGCACAAGACTGGAACTCGAATGGCGACCATGGTCATGTACTGGTGAGCCAGTCAAACTAGAGTGTGTTGGTGTAGTTCTGAATGCAAAACTTACGCTTTTGGTTTCTTGCTTCCAGCACACTACCCACCAAGGGCGGACACACCAACTTTCGAAATGCCAATGTCCATGTCAAACCCCAAACGGGAATGGGTGTATTCTTCAGTTACATCGACCCTGTTACCAATCTGACAGACAAACAGTTTACTGAACACAGTGGCTGCCCAGTATGGGAAGGGCAAAAAAAGATTGTCACTCAATGGGTTCGGTGGGGCGTGGACAAGGAGAATCCCTGGACATCATTCAATACATGTAAGTGGAACGGCGGCACTATCAATTGGATGTAATCTGGTTCTTTGCTGGGGCTTACCTTTGTTTTGTTGCTTCAGTGGGAGTGAAGAAGTCCGAAGCGAATGAGTGGGCGTAGTAGAACCAAGCACGCGGTTTGCTTTCGACTGTCCCAAGCAAACCAACAAGTCGTGGTTGAACAGTTTTCGGCATGCTTGAACTACAAGTGGAGTAGGAAACTCTCGTATGCTGAGATCTGCTAGCTCAGCCTCCATTTCCTTGTTGCTAGCTAGATAGAGAGGGAAAGCAGTCCAATGCTGTATGAAAGCCAGTAGCATTGACACGTGATACGTGATGCTTTGGTGTTGGACTACCGATACTCGGGAACAGTTAGGAATGAACACAGTGTGGAGGATGTGAGACTTCCAATATCACGCACCTAACGAGCATCTTACTCTTGGGCCAGTCAATTAGTTGTGATACGGGAACTCGAAAGCTCACATTTAGTTTTATGTGCCTCTACTACACACTCCTATCTACATGCCTACTAGCTATTAATAGTAGTAGAGTAGTAGTACATCCGTACCGGTAGTAGTACACCGTACGTAGTAGCAAACTCGTGAAAGCTCACCGTCACATTTAAAATAAAATTGTTGATACTACGTCGTACACGTGTACCAGGTACTGTACGGTATCGATATCGATACGTACTTAAGTACTCATTATTTGAACTCGTGAATGCGCTCCACCACCACCGTCACGTTTGAATTAATTGTTGATATCACGTACTCCTTCGAAGAAAGCTCGCATTTAGATTTATACTGAGTCGAGTCACGGATCGGACGCAGTGAATGCTGCAGCGCTGACTGTCACATATGCTATTATCATAAGGTTGATACGTTGATACTATGACTCCTTAGATTTAAGCCACTGCAATGTACCAGTACCGGTACCATAGCGATGAAACTCGTGATACCCTCACCGTCACATTTTGGTGTGATCAAACGCGAACAGAAAAATCGAAGATCAAGGACAAGGGAAAAAACAACTCATTCTCGGTCCCACAACTTCGGTGGCATCTCATTCTTCTGATCTAAGCGCTGCTGATTAATTGTTCACCATCGTTGGCTCAAAGGTGGCGATAGCTTTTGAGCTCTTGGATAACCTTGAAAGGAAACTAATCAAAGAAGTTGGGAGATACTAGCAGTTGGTATCTTCAGAGCTTCAGAGGACGTATCAACCAACTTGTTCCTGGGGTAAACACAAGAAGAATGCTTCTGATAACAACACTATTGTGGCTCGCCTGTGTGGTCATGATTTTGACGACACACATCGTATCGGCTAGTAGTAGACCTTCACAGTCTCCATCATCACAGCCCTCCAATGAACCCTCATATACGCCATCACTTGATCCCTCACGAATTCCCTCTGACTTTCCCTCGGAGATGCCATCTGTCAACCCATCCACCGTACCATCAACAACTCCGAGTACAAGCCCATCCACCAATCCCTCCCAGACGCCAAGTCGATCCCCAATTGAGAGTCCAGGTGAAAGTCCCGGTTTTCCATTGACCAAAATTCGTTCGATTGATGGTACCGACCGTCCCAACGATGATTATGGCGCCGCCGAGGAAATGTTGCTTCGCATGTCCAACAAGTTGACCTATGCCGACGGCAAGGAAACGCTCTGGGACAATGCCAATGCCCGTACAATCTCAAATGCTTTAATGGCCCAAACTTCTCCCAAGACCAATGATCGAAACCTTCTAGATATGGTAAGGCATACTGATCAAATTGCTGTGCACGGGTGGCATTCTAAGACAACTGCAATCCTGTCTCATCATTACTCTCACCAATGATGTGCTGCAGGTCTGGCAGTGGGGACAGTTTTTGGACCATGACATCGACCTGACAGAAGCATCGACAGCCTATGGAGTCATGTTTGTCGAGATTCGTGACAAAGAGGACCCTTTTCGCCTTGCCAAATGCAAATTCATCGCCATGTCTCGATCCGAAAATACGTTGAACGACAAAAATGTCCGCGAGCAAATCAATCACATAACCTCCTTTGTTGACGGGAGTGTCGTCTATGGATCCTCCGAGGTTCGATCCAATGCATTGCGCCTGTTTACCGATGGAAAAGTTAAGACAAGCTCAGATGGCATGCTGTTGGGCTTGAATGATGATGGTCTTGACAATGCTGGAGGGACCCGCAAAGACTTTTTTGCGGCTGGTGACATTCGTGCCAATGAGCAGATTGGCCTGATTGCTATGCACACCCTTTTTATTCGAGAACACAACAAGCTTTGCGATGATTTGAAAGCCACATTTCCCACAGCTACGGATGAACAGTTGTTCCAAATGGCACGCAAGATTGTGGGAGCTGAGATTCAGGTGAGTTATCTGGTCCTTTTGTTGCTTGCTGAATGGTTCGATTGACGGGGCACATATGCTTCATCTTCGTGCATTCTTCTGTAGGCTATCACATACAAGGAGTTCCTTCCGGCTTTGCTAGGACCCTTGGCTCCTCAGATGGGGAGCTACACAGGATATCGGGATGATGTCAACCCCAGGTGCGTGCACGTCGATACCGATGCCTTCACAGCCCCAATCGTCCTTGTGGGAGAAACCCTCACATTTCGTGTATTCTGCGCCACAGTATTTCCAATGAGTTCTCGACGGCAGCATATCGTTTTGGCCACTCCCAGTTGTCGGAAACCTTTCCGTTGGCAACCGCGGCAGGACCAACAGGGGAGGTGATTGCACTCAAGGACGTCTTTTTCAACCCTGGCTTTTTCGCCGAAGACCCAACCAAAGTGGATGAAATCCTTGCCGGGCTTCAGGAAGAATTGGCGCAAGAGATTGACCCTCTGATGACCGATGCCGTAAGGAACTTCTTATTTGGAGAACCAGATGGCCCCAATAGCTGCTTGGATTTGGCTGCCCTGAACATCCAGGTGAGTCACATGTGTTGCTGTCGATGGGTTTGCCACCCTCCTCGTTTATTCATCGTTGGCTTATCTGTGAATACAACAGAGAGGCCGTGATCACGGCATCCCGTCTTACAACAATCTTCGTGAGGCCTATGGTTTCCCGAAGTATGATAGCATCAAGCAAATTACTCAAGATGTGTCTATCCAAGAAGCCCTCGATTCCGTCTATGGCGACATCTCCATGGTAGACGCGTGGGTGGGGATGCTGAGCGAGGATCATGTTGCGGGAGCAAGCGTCGGGTAAGTACCGGTATCAGCGTGAAGACAGTTCATCCATTTGCCTGCTCGCACTAACCCCTGACGGACGTTTGCATCCCACAGAGAGCTACTTGGAACTGTGCTGAAGGATCAGTTCACTCGTCTCCGTGACGGCGACCCCTTCTACTACAAGATTGATGCCGATCTTTATGACAGTGATGTTGTTAACAAAGTTTTGGATATCGATTCAGTAACCTTGCAAATGATAATCGGCCGCAACACTCATATCGACCACGACCCCACAAAGAGTGCCTTTGTGAGGGGACTTGGGCCGGATCAGGATCCTCCGAAGTGGCCAAAAATGAGCACAATCCGTTCAATAGATGGAAGCGATCGCGACGACCACTTGGGAGAGGCGTACACTCCCTTGATGCGAATCTCGCCGCTCAGTGTTTCAACGTACACCGATTCAAAGGGGTTGATGTGGGATGGGCCCAATGCAAGAACCGTGTCAAATGTTGTCTTCGGTTTTGGCGGAGACATCGTTAACGATAGAGGGTTGCTCGATATGGTGAGTAGCTTCCAGCTGATGATTGCTTCATGCAAATTTCACTTTCCTCTAACTTCGCTTTGTCTGTCGCCTATCGGTGGAATATATAGCTGGTGCAATGGGGGCAGGTACATCATCTATTGTGGCTCGTGATGGATCAAGGGTGGAGATCCGCCACAAGAGTTTATTTGGTAATGCTCTCACGCTGACCTCTCCTCTTGTCTCTGTCCACACCAAAGTTCTTGGATCATGATATCGGTAGGTTCAAAACACGCCTGTTCGAAGTAGGACGAATTGAGGTCGCTCGTCTAATGTGACTTGCATTGAAATTTCAATAGACCTGACCGACTCCGGAACGCAGTATGGAACTTGCAACATCGAAATCCCCGACCCCGTAAACGATGCCGATCCATTCATTGTCGCCGGCTGTCCAGAGATTGTAATGGCTCGTTCTGAATACGTGCTGGAGACCGATGAAGGCAGTAATATGGATGTTCGCCAACAAGTGAACCTCATCACTGCCTTCATTGATGCTAGTAATGTGTACGGCTCCGATGAAATCCGATCCGGCGCATTGAGAAGCTTCGACGGAGGCAAACTCAAATCGGACGCTTCGGGAAACCTGTTGTCAAAGAACGTGGGAAATGCACTTCCCAATGCAGGCTCAGGAGAGCAATTCTTCATTGCGGGCGACGTTCGTGCAAACGAACAAGCCGGGTAAGAACACAGCACTCCAGTGACAGATTCCAGTGCTGTGCAGTCATGGCGTCCCTCACATTCATGCCTAAAACATAGGTTGTTGGCCATGCATACCTTGTTTCACCGTGAGCACAATCGCTTGGCCGAGGACATCGCAGCCAGGTACCCAGACAGGTCAGATGAGGAGATCTTTCAGCTTGCCAGGAAGGTGGTGATTGGAGAAATGCAGAGTATCACCTACAAGGCAAGAGCTACGAATGATGTCATCTTGCAGTTCATTCAATCAGTGAAGATTGCCTTCTAACGAATGAATGATCCGCTGATTTCTTTATCTGGTTTCCCAGGAGTTCCTGCCCGCGCTTCTTGGGCCCATGGCGCCATCACTAAGCGCTTACAAAGCCAACGGAGGATACAACCCCGATGTGGACCCAAGAATATCAAACGAATTCTCAACCTTTGCATTCCGTGTCGGACATACAATGCTGCCAAGCAAGATCAAATTGGCGAACTCCAAAGGTCCCTTTGGAATCGTGGCGCTTCGAGATATTTTCTTCGATCCAAAACCATTCGACGAAGACCATCTTTTCGTGGATTACATTCTTGGTGGGCTGATGGAAACTCACTGTCAGGAGATTGATGCATTCATTGTGGATGATGTTCGGCAGGTGAGCGGGGAAAATTTTGTGTCACGACATCAGGATGGCAGCATGCCCTCACTTGTCGTCTTCCCCTTCATCGCCAGCACCTTTTTGGAGCGGTAGACGGCCCGGGCACATGCCTTGACCTTGCAGCCCTCAACATTCAACGGTAAGTGCCTTCCTAGCCAGCTGTCACTGCAGGTACAGAATGTTGATTCCGGCAAGTCTCAAGCTCTCGCTTCATTGTATTTCACTGCCAAAGTGGTCGTGACCACGGCATCCCACGGTACAACGATCTCCGAGAGGTTATGCTGCTACAACGGTACACACGCTTTGAGGACATCACCTCTGATACAAAACTGCAGGAGAAGCTCGCACTAGTCTACGATACCGTTGATGAGATTGATGCCTGGGTTGGAGGGTTGGCGGAGGACCATGTTGAAAATGCAAGCGTTGGTGAACTCGTGGGCACAATTATCAAGGACCAGTTTGAAAGGCTCATGCACGGCGACCCTCACTTCTATCTACGAGATCTAGATCAATTTGACAAAGGTTTCATGATCCATATCATGAATCTTCGAAAAGTGACGCTTCAGCACATCATTCAACGAAACACCATCATTGATCACGACCCAAGGGTCAGTGCCTTCGTTGATGACACAGCGGAATCAAACAGTGGCTCCAAGAAGATGTTGCGGCATGTGTAAACAGCCATCTATCTAGCTAGCCTACTACGGTACCGGTACCGTACCAGTAGCTATTGGCATGCACTAGCTCTAGCTCGTACTGGCCACGTCAACTTGATTTTCTCGCTTGGGTCTTCTCACTAGACCTGCCCTCAAACTGGTACCATACCGGTACCATGGTGGGCGTTTGCATCCAGCAACCCAACATTTGGCAAGACTGCGGGCGCCTGTTGCCGAGCAACATTCGTGCAGGAACACTGGGAGAAATGTAGGAGAACACGGATCGACGGCAGTAGTAAGGGCTCTAATCTAGGTTTACATCTTCGATTCCTCCTCTCTGTATGTGTTAGGCATTTAGGTCATAACACAAACATCTGTTGGTGCTGCAAGGTCTTCTAGAAATATTGGGCATTTAGATGGTCCCCATAGGCAGGCAGCAAGCAATGCCTCTTCCCCTACCGGTACCCTCACTCAAGTAGTGACCTAGTAGAAACCCTTGCTCCTTTCAAACATTTGGCTCAAGGTCAAAATGGGATAATTTATCTCTTTAGTTAAAAACTACGGAATTGTAGCTACGTGTTTTGGCCGATCGATGGAACACATCTTTCCAATACAGTCCGTGTCATGATCGCATACACAGCCACAGATTCAACCAGACTGTCGGTGAAGTCGATTATGGACGGGGGAATCGAGGTAGTCAAGGCCCAGGCTTTTTCGCTGGGCTGCCAGTTGCCCAATGCAATGTTCCCTCCTCCTTCACCCTGTCAAGCTCCAGTTTGAATATAAGACTTGGTTTCAAGGGCACATCGAACTCCTCTATTGACGTTTTTAGCTCAGCAATGTTTGTTTCGCTTGGATCCTCGTCACGGTTGAGCCATACTAGTTGAACTCGTTGAAGGTTATCCAACGCATCCTTGTTGCTCTTGCGATCTGTCTCTGCAGGCTGATGAATCTGAAACATAAGCGTTGCCAGTGCGTGCCAGTCATGCCACACCTTAATCGGTTCCTCTTGCTCGCCAATGCGATCGCCATCAGCCAGAGCTTTTTTGTATCCGCTTGGATACTTCACGTCCCCTACCTTGCCTCCGTAGTCAAAGTCGATCAACCAGCCTTCATCCTTGTCGTCTCCAAACACAACATTGAAGGCTCGAATGTCACCGTGGACGTATCCACACTTGTGCAGTTTCTCAAGTTTGTCAACTACAGGAAGAAAGTCCGAGAGTTTCTTTGCGTAATGTCTGCCCTTTCTGTATGGAATAGATAATACTTGCAGCGCTGGTTGCTTTCCAAAACTTCGCTCGTTCTGCCAAAAGGGATCATGCTCATCGCCTATCGATTCGGGATCCATCGCTTTTTGCCAGGACAACACCTCAGTTGTCTCGCCCACAATTTCCTTGCATTTTTCATCCAGGTAAATGTCGTATGAACGGTTGGTTCGTTGAAGTCTGTTGTCGTAGCACCGAAGGACACAGTCTGTAATTTTGCAACAGTTGGAGCTCAGATACTGATAAGCAGGCAACGAACCATCCTTGTCGCGCCACTGTTGAAAGCTGGAGGTTACTCGCAGAAGTTTTCCGAAGAACTTGGACGCTTTTCCCAGGTTGTCAGATGCGGCGTGCCAAATCAGCGTCATGCGGTACTTTATTTTGTCGTGCGGAGAGCAGAGAAAGACTCCAATCCGAAACTCGACTTTTGCTTCGCCTCGGACGCTTGTCTTTTCCTTGCTTCCATCAGTTTGCTCTTTGATTGTCACCACGGCAAAGAGAAGCGGTCGATCGAATTTTGGATTCTTGGATTCTTTCCAGTCCCTCATCAGGTTCAAATACTTTGCGTTTTGATCTAGCTTTCTCCACCAGTCTTCGGTCTTGAGCCCAAATGCAACCGCAGCATACGGGGTCGACTTGTAGGCTTCTTCCTTGGATCCTGTGTTCGTCAAAAGAATGCCAATGAATCCACGGGGTTTCTCGTGAGCTTCTGCTCTGACGTTCACTTCAGGAAGCGCATGATATCCAAGCCGGGCGCTTGCTGCGTCAACTTTGCTTACTATGATTTCCGTGAGACCCTTTTCTGTCTTGTTGCCGGATTTTTTCCACGCCGAGAAAGAGTCACTAAGGACGGCATCGAAGTTGACCTCGGGCTTTGAGCTAGTCGTCGCCAAAGCTCAGGCGCCACATTGGACTCACGAAAAGCTGAGAGCAGCGAGAGTCCCAAGGGATGACTCAATACCGATCGTTGCCGGTGGTCGACAACGTCCATTCCATGGTCATTCGTTGCCGACGCACTGGGCCTTTCGCTTGACGAACGTTTCTGGGCCTTCCTCGACAACGAACTGCTTCGCGTCGAAAGACTTGGACTGCCACTGCTGGTCGTCACGGTCAGCTCTCCCGTCTTCTCATTCATCTCTTGTTTTGGGTGTTGACGTCGGGTGGGTCGTACTGAGGGCCGCCGTGGAAACTGTAGTCGCGCATTTGCCCCAAACGGAAATCACAGGCGGGTCCCGTAAACCAGTGCTCACGACTCAAATCATTAAAAAATTATTAGCAGCATTTTCGAATTTGGGTAAGCAAAGCAAGTGTGACCGGTGAACGTCGCGCGAAGTTGCCGGTACCCCCAGTGACGACGTCCTACGTCCATAGACATGCGACGGTTATCAAGCCAGGCGAGCCTACCGATACCACCCCGTCAGGACCATTTTGTGTTTTCGGGAGGTCCCGAAATCTTGGAGTCGCTCAGTTACTTCACATTGGATCCATGACGAATACATGCACAACCGAAGATTGTCAATCCAGCCATTGTAGCCGGCTGCCATATAGTTACATCGGCGACAGTGGCAACAGTACCGAGCACACTCAGGTTCGACTTTGCTCACTACACTCCGGTATAAGTACCTCGCATTGGATCCCTATGATGAATATATACACAACCGAATATTGTCAATCCTATTGATCTATAAAGTGTCTATCTAATGAAAGGAGTGGTCTATTGGTCGGTAATCGATGATCTATTATCTTACGAGTTATCTATCTATCTTTATCGTACGAAAGAAGCAAGTCGTTCGCCCGAGGACTTTTGCATACAGGAAAGTGGGTACTGTACCGACACATGAATCACCACCAAAACACTAGGAAATAACACTGGGGGGATAAATCCAGTAGTTGGATCCACTCTCTTGTGTATTGTTGGCTCGCTCATGTTCCCTTTTCAATGACTTGACGATGATCTCCTCCGTTCAGGCTGCTGATAGGGCTTGAGTTAACAGAGCCTCTTCCGTAATGGCAGTCTCTTCCTCTTCTTATCAGGAGCGATCGACCATCCACAATGGTATTTCCTCGGCCGCCTGCAGTACACCAGAGAAAACAACAAATAGATATGAGTTTTGTTTTCTGTGCTCAACTGCAGACGACCGGAGACTTATTCTTGCTTTTCAAATTGTACCAACTTGGTCGTCATGGGCCGAGAACTGACTGCCATCACATGGTCCATAGGATTCAATAAGGGATGGCTTTCGAATCTGCACCGAAGACGACCGGCTTAAGTGAGGCTTGAATAATAGAGGTGCGATCGATTCGATTTGAATAATTAAAACAATTCACACGTTGACGACCGAGATCTGACTGCCTGCCCATGATCCATAGAAATGAATGAGGGATGGCTTTCAACTCTACACCTTCAACAACACTCTTGATAATAGACTTACCTTGTACGGTACCAATCGTTCGATCAATCGATCAATCGAAAGATCGAGTCAACAATGGGATTTCTTCGGCCGTCGGCAGTGAGAGAACAGAAAGTAACAAATGTGCAATACACGGCTCTTAGCCTTATTCGCGACTCGATCCTAGATAGGGTTTGAGTTCGACTCATGACGTAGTCCTTCGCGAATAGTCATTGAGACAGGGTTCTCATGACTGCTAGTCATACTAGGTTGTCGATGAAACATCGCTCTAGATATTTAGCCGGCGTGGAAAGCTTCCACGCTACTAGACAGCTACTAGCTAAAGTTTCCACGTGTTCCGGAAATGGACCGTGGAGTACGTAGAGTTATTGCCATAACCTACGATATCACACTTCAAGGCCTCCCGCGGGAGACCAACTTCAATGAGCTTCACAATGATCTCTCTCATGGATTAGTTTTCGTAGCTTTCTAATCTCTCTCATAACTTTCATTCTCTCAAACTCAAAACACTCGAAAGATCTTTACACTAGCTTTTAGCGTAGTGCATTTTGTTAACAAACACAATAGCTTTCAGCTACCCTCAACCTATTCCTTCACCATGAAGATTGCTCAAGGAAAGCATGCGTTCACCAACTTCGAGAAACAGTTGCGTGACAAACCCATTCTTCCTCTCGTGGACAACGACGAAGACGCCGAGATCGACGATTCTCGTGCAACCACCTACAAACTTCGCACCGTTCCTGCAGATGCAAACAGTGCCAAATACACCTTCAAGGTAGCCATCATCAATGGTTCCAACACTCCACGTCAGACCATCAAGTGGGCTACGAATATGGAGAAGGTCTTCGTTGGACTCAACCTTGCTAACGCCGACGACAAACATCGCCTTCTCAAGGAGATGACTTCCAGCTCTGCGAAGAGTGCCTACGAAGCTGGGTGTGCATGCCATCGTGCTGTGCGTCATAACGCCCTACGACAAATTGCTGTGAACGCAGTTCCTCCACGCGATATGGCTTCTGGAGAAACCGAAGCAGCCTTCCAGGCTCGTGTCCAAGCCGCATGGGACGGTGCAGCGGAACCCGCTCTAAGCGATGCTGACATCACCTTTGGAATCAATGCGGTTATCGAAGCAGCCTGTCCTTACAAGGCTCTCGAAAAACAGAAACGCTTCATGCGTCGCAAGATGCGCAAGCCTAGCGAGATGACAACTCGCGCCTACATCAACAACCTCACTCGGATGAACACCGATGAGCTTCCATGTTTGCCACCTTTTGGTGTCAATCAACAGTTGAACCAGGACGAATTCATCGACATCATCTGTCATGGCATTCCTCGTTCCTGGATGCGCAAGATGGACGAACACGACTTCGATCCTTTCACTGCCGAGATGACAGCGCTCATTGGATTCTGTGAGCGCATGGAATCCGCTGAAGACTTTGACAAAGGCAGTGATGCCAAGCAAGCTTCTTCGAAGAAGAACAACAGCAAGAAGTACAAGTCTACTCGCAACAACGACCATTCTTCCAAGAGCGAAGAAAAGTGGTGTGATTACCACGAGTCCAGCACTCACAATACTGCTGATTGCATGACTCTGAAGAAACTCAAAGCCAAGTCCTCGTCTGACAATGATAGCAAGCCAGCGTACAACAAGAACAAGACTTGGAAACGCAAGTCTGACGACGCCAAGTCCTACACCAAGAAGGAACTTTCGGTCCTTATGAAGAAAGTCTCCAACGCTGCGGTCAAAGCGGATCGCAAGAAGAAAAGCGAATGCAACCATGTTGCCAAACGCAAGTCGGACGACTCTGACAACGAGGATGACTCCTCTGTCGGGTCCCTCAACATGATGGACAAGAAAATGGCTGCAGTCGACAAGGCTCTTGCCGACTTCGACTTCAATCATTCAGATGGAGAGATCTCCGTCTGAGGATTAGGCCAGGATGATGATTCAACGGAACCATGTTCCGATTTCTCATACCTAAGTGATGAAGATATCTCACTAACTAGTAAACAAGAATTGTTTGCAACTGATGAAGTCTACGGCAAATTAGATAATTGCCTAGAAACTGCTCAACTAGATTCTGACGATCTATCCAGCATTGTTAACCTCGTCCGTGGCCAACCACCTCGTCAACGTCGCACGACAAGAGACCTCAAAACTATCGTCTATGTTAGATTTAACAGACGAGAAAAAGGGAAACAAAAACCCGTTACACTCCGTTGCTTACTGGATACAGAAGCATCCGAAACCTTGATTACCCAAATTCATGCTAAGAGATTAAGCATGAAGGATCATGGGGGCGTCCAAACACTATGGACTACCCCTGTAAAGGAATTAAACCCCAGCACGAAGTGCAAGGGTGCACTTATGACTCCTGAGTTCCACGATGATAGAATTATCGAATGGAACTTGCACGCCACCAAGAACTTGGGGGCGTATGACATGATCATCGGTCGAGACATTCTCTCCGATCTAAGAATCAAGTTCGACTTTACTACCATGTTAAGGCAGATATGCCAGAGTCAAAACCATGTAAATAAGGAAGAGCAGGAACCGCTTCATGCCTTATTGACCAAGTGCTCCGACCAATTCGAAGGTACTTTAGGAAAGCGACAAATGAACGACTACGAAGTAGAACTTCGTTCTGATGCTAAACCCTATCACGCTAGGGCTTACCCTACTCCACGTGTCTATACCAACACTCTTAAGACAGAGGTCGAACGTCTCTGCGACGCAGGAGCACTTAAGAAGGTAAACCGTTCCGAGTGGACGGCGCCAACATTTATCATTCCCAAAAAGAATGGATCTATACGGTTCATCTCTGACGTCCGGGAACTGAACAAAAGGATTGAGCAAAAACCTTGTCCGATCCCAAGGATACAAGACATGCTACTGAATCTAGACGGATTCAGGAAATACGAATACCAACGAGTACCGATGGGCCTATGCAATAGTCCCGACATCTTTCAAAGGAAGATGGGAGCACTCATGCACGACTTGGAAAATGTCCGTGCATATATTGATGATCAACTCATCCTAACCAACGGCGATCTAGTAGATCACGTGATAGTTAGATGAAGTTCTCCTAACGGCTTCGAGAAGCCGGACTTAAGATCAATGCTACCAAGTCCTTCTTCGAAAGAAGAGAACTTGAGTATCTAGGCTACTGGATTACTTGAGAAGGAATCCAACCCGTAACCAAGAAAATAGATGCGATCCAGAACATCGCTCCTCCTAAGAACAGGGAGAAACTTGGTAGATTCATTGGACCAGTGAACTACTCTCGTGACATATGGATCAGACGATCACATGCACATACAATGTCGGGGATCCCAAGAAAAGGAATCTCTGTCCATTTCATTGCTTGACAATGAATGATCCCATAACCGGATGGTTCGAGATGCCGAGATCTGCCCCAATGCAGCAGACGAAGTAGCCATCGTTCTAGAACAGACGTGGCTCACCCAGTATCCAGGGCCTGCTGAGGTTATCATGGATAGCGAACATGAGTTCCGCGCAGAAGTCGAGAAGACTCTCCGGGATGAATATGGACTTCGTTGCAAGTTCATTACCACACATGTTCAATCGTGACGCGATTCACAACGTCCGTTTCGAAGTAAACTGGAAACACATCAAAGAACGTCGCCAACGACTCATCCAGAAACACACTGTGCACTACGCTAAAAGCTAGTGTAAAGATCTTTCGAGTGTTTTGAGTTTTGA